ATGCTTGTACTCTCTCCTTAACTAGCTTCTTATGTTCATGTTTCTAAGTACTCTTCTTTCACCATGGCCTTATGGCTCTTATGGTTTGGAATAAAGTATAGTGCGTTTCAATTTATTATATTTTGGGATGAAGATGATGGCATCAATCTTACTTTACCTTTCTTCTATTTTAGTATTTGTGGAAAATGTATTTTTAAAAAATTTTGGACTTTTCCTTTGTTTGACAAGTAGGATATTAACAGTAGGAAGAATTTAATAAAATGTAATAAGTTGAAAAACTTTTCCTTTGTTTGAATATGAAGATCAGAAAGCCATCTCCAACGTTATCAATTATTTGACTAAATCCAAAGGTATAATGCTAACTTTATTATTCAAGTATCCATGTTAATTGGTTTTGTAACTAGTTTTATGTACGAATTTCAATAAGCTTATATTTTAGAAAAATTCAGCCTAAAATATTATGTCGATCAAATACGTTCATAATTATGATTACAAGCAAATGATATGTAAAGCAAAAGATGCATTTGCCATTATCCTCTAGGAGCAGTATTCAAAACCCTCAAATCCTGACATCATACAGGTACAATAACGATGCAACCTAAGTAAAGTAAATAGTCTTTGGTTACATTCACTAAAACCTTAAGAAACCGGACATGTAGTCCAAGATTAGTTTCTGCCATGTCCTCTTACATTCATCGCAGCCTTTGTTCTTCTGGATGGCTCTGCTCGTGAATGAGAAGGGCTCGGATCACTCGCGGGAAGAAACATTGGTTGCTCTCTGTTTACAAGACCACCTGTAAAAATATCAAAGAGAAGTTTTCTTTTTGTTTCGAAAAGGACCGTAAAAAACGAGAAATATGACTACACCTTAATTTGACTACTTACTGCCAAAGGAACCAGACCGACTGGGTAGCCTTCTAGCATTTCCACTCCAAGACTGCTCAAAATCAGCCAACTCATCTGCAGGGTTTTGCGATTGTAAGCAAGAAAACAAAAAGGTATATGGTTTTCCCATATTCGGATTATTGATTCCTCTCATCCAAGCTATACTCTTTCTCAAGCTTAACGAGAAACGTGTTACTTACCTTCGTTTAAATTGTGCAAGGTCTGCGTTGTATTAACACGACCATCTGAGTTAAGCTTACGTGCAACTGTGTGGCCCTGCAAGCATAAGAAGGTCACTTGTGTTTTGACCACATTGATTCAACAACGACGGAAAAAAAAAAATTTGCTATCCTCAAAGTGTATGTATAAACTACCTTGTTATGAAGGCCTCTTGAAATCCTGTGTGCTGCTTCCCGTGTCGCAGTATTGGCTTCTTTGCTTTCTTCAAGAGTTAACTGTTTCATAAAAAAGCCGGTTTGGGTAAGCAAGCATAACTACAATTCTTGCGCACACACACAAATGAGTTCCTATTATAACTCACCCCATCACTTCCTGTTCTTCTTGTCTTCGATGAAGTGTAGTAGCTTCCGTTCTGACCACCGTATGTAACAGTCGAGCTCTGGAAACTATAACTACGAGTTTGTGGTTGCCATTGTCCATTGTTCACCATAGCATTTACATTCATGTTTTGTACTTGTCGGTTCCTTCTCTCTGCAGCAACATAAAACACCGTGAGTTCCAGTGAAACAACAACTCGAAAACTACGGCAGAAAGGAAAAGAAAAATTCACCTTCCGCTCTAGCATCTTCAGTTTCCGCCTCACTGCTTGACCTACCATGTTTCCCTAGACTACCTTTCTTCTCTTTATCTCCTTCTCCTTCTTCCTCATCATCTGTATCAATCTCTTCAATAACCGGTCCACGTGATCTCCTCGGTTCTGGTGGTTGATGATGATTCTCAATAAAACCCGATGGAGGACGACGCATTCCTGCAAAAGGATCCATACTAGAATCAAAGAAGTTGTTCGGCTGTAACATTCCACCAAAAGGCTGTGTGAAAAAAGGGTCATCAAACGGATTTCTTCCTCCGAAAAAATTAGACATCAGATTTGGACGACCATTAGTGCCACCAAATGAGCCACCAAAACCACCACCAAAAGAGCCTCCAAAAGGACCACCAAAATTGAAAGGATCTCTACCACCTCCTTGCATCTTCCTCAGTTACTACAAGAAAGTAAAATGTCCAAAACAGGTGTATGTAAAAGTGCTATCTTTCAAACACAAAAACACATACTTTTCAAGTAATATCAAAATTCTTCACATGAGATGAATAAAGAAAGAAAACCCAAAACCCTCATAAGCTTTAAATCATAGTAACAACGATTCAAGAACCCTAATTTCAAACCCCATGAG